CTATGGTGCATCTGTAAAAGTTGGTGAGGGTCCTTATGGACGTGCCAATTTTCCTGAACTGCCTGATGAAGAGGCAGCATTGTTACGCCTTCTTGACCGCTGCATCTACGTGGAAAGTCTGGGACAGGTTGTTGGTTATTGTCACTCGTAGGAACTTGATGGTCTCAACTCTCTCAACCTCTGCTTCGTTGATGTAGATGGAGGTGCGTTTTCCTCCTTTCCTTCTGAAGTCAACGATCTTTTTGTTTTGCCGACATTAAGAGAAAGGTTGTTATCATTGCACCACATCACCAAACTCTCTATCTCCTTTCTATATTCTGACTCATCTTTGTTTGATAGCCAGCCTACTGCGGTGGCGTCGTCAGCAACGTTGTAGATGGTGTTTGTTTGTAATTTGGCTACACAGTTGTGGGTGTACAGGGAGTACAGCAGGGGACTGATAATGCATCCTTGGTTGTGGGGGATCCACTGTGGAGTGTTATCGTGGAGGAGGTGCAATTATCTATCTTCACTGATTGGGTCAGGAAGCTGAGGATCCAGTTGCAGAGGGTGGAGCCAAGACCTAGGTCTCGGAGTTTTGAGATCAGTCTGGAGGGGATAATGGTATTGGAGGTGGAGCTGTAGTCGATGAGTGGGAGTTTGACATAGGTGCCCTTGTTGTCCAAATATTCCAGGGATGTGTACAGGCCTATGGAATGGCATCCGCTGTGGACTTGTTATGTTGGTAGGCAAATTGCAGGGGATCAAGGCAGGCTGGGAGGCTAGAGTCAATGTGGGCCATGACCAGCCTCTCGAAGCACTTCATGGTTATGGAGGTCAGAGCCACTGGGCGGTAGTCATTAAGGTATGTTGCATGTGCTTTCTTAGGCACTGAGATGATGGTAGTCTACTTGAAGCGGGAGGGGGCTTCAGCTTGTAGAAGAGAGAGGTTGAAGATGTCAGTGAATACATCCGCCAGCATTTCTGCACAGGATTTAACTGCACACCAGGGTTTCTGTCTGGACCCGGATGCTTTCCTTGGGTGATTCTCAGGAAGACCGATCTGACATCTGCAGCGGTGACAGAGAGCACAGGTGCGTCCAGGGCTATCAAGGCAGGTGAAACAGCACCGCTGGCATTCTGCTCGAACTAAGTATAGAAAACGCTGACCACATCAGGGAGGAATGTGTCTTTGTTTGCTATCTTGCTCTGCTTCATTTTGTATCCCATTATGTTGTTTAGGCCTTGCCACAGGCGGCAGGTGTCTGTATGGCTGCTTTGGGCCTCTAACTTGATCCGGTACTGCCTCCTGGCATCTCTGATGGCGTTACAGGAGGTCAGTACAGATCTGGGCTGTCCGACTTGAATGCTGCACAGTTGGTCTTCAGGAGGGAGTGGATTTCCCAGTTCAGCCAAGGTTTCTGGTTGGGGAACACCCGAATTGACTTCTTTGGTACACAGTCCTCCACGTGTTTACTGATAAAGTCCGTGATAGTGTACTCGTCCAGGTTCTCTGCTGAGTACTTGAATACGGTCAAGTCCACCGATCCCAAGCAGTCCTGGAGACACGCTTCTGCTGCCTCGGACCAGCACTGTATTTCCTTCTGTGAAGGATCCTCCAGTTTCAGCTTCTGCTTGTAAGCTGGGAGGAGGAACACTGTGTTGTGATCTGATTTTCCAAAGTGTGGACGGGGGATGGAGCAGTAGGCGTCTTCGATGGTTACGTAGCTGTGGTGCAGGGTGTTCAGTCCTCTCATGGGGAAAATGTTTTGGTGGTACTTTGGCAGCACGCTCAAGGTTAGCTTGGTTGAGTCGCCGGTTGAATAAGGCCTCAGGAAATTTCGTCTCCAGAGCATTTGTGCCGGTGTAAATTTTGTCTAGGGCATTCTTCACATCTGCATGGGGTGGTACGTAGACTAAGAATGGAGGACGTGAACTTCTGCGGCAGATAGTAGAGACAGCATTTTATTGTAAGGTATTGCGCATCTCACTCCTCAGTGTCATGAGGACGATCTTTGTCACAGTCATTTCAAAGAGGTTCCCCTGACTAGCCAACAGAATGTACCTGGAGACACAATATGGCTTCACAGCAGCAGATCCATAAAAGACACGATCTTCTCCCAATGTAACCTTCCAGAGTAGTGCAAAGAGCAGAAACCACAGTAATTTCCTTTTAATGAACTCACAAAATAATTTGTCATTCAACAGATCAGCTCTCTACTAGATACTAGGCTTAAGTGGTTGACATTTCAAGCTTCACCGTTTCAATTAGTCCTTCCACGATAACATGCATGGCACCATTCAGTTCAAATTTCTGACAGTTTTGTGATTAACAATAGGTGAAACAGGGTTGCGTTCGTGCCCCCAAACTGTTTTGTATCATTCTCTGTTTATTTTTATTCAGCAAGTAGAAATCCCTGAAGCCAAGAGACAGGTCTTCTTACTTGCCAAGTTTATGTTGATTAGCCTGCCTCTTACTTTGTAGACGGGACACTCTTCAGTAATGTGCAGCATTGTTTATGTCTTTCTACAAATGCATAATATGTTTGTATGTAGACCCTAATGATGAATATTGGCTGCTCAGAGGCCCTCATCTGTCCTGAAACTGTTTAGAAAAGTTCATTCTCAGTATGGTTATTCAAAGCTTGCCATTTGACAGATGGGCTTTGTCATAAGAAAGTTGTTAATATGTTGCTGTGTTTTCCAGTCTGTTATCCAAACAATATTATGCTTTTCCTGCTGACATGGAAGGAACGTTTCATCAGTTGGGAAACATCTCAATCTATTGGGCAGCACGATAGCACAATCGTTAGCGCTGTTGCCTCCCAGGGCTAAGGACCGGGTTTGACTCTAGCTTCTGCTGACATTCTGTGTGGAATTTGCACATTCACCTCATGTCTGCACGAGTTTCCTCCGGGTGCTCTGGTTTCCTCCCACAGTCCAAAGATGTGCAGGTTAGGTGCTAACTTGCCCATAGCCATAGGAAATACAGGCTTACAGGGATAGGGTAGGGGCATAGGCCTGACTGGGGTGCTCTTCGAGGGTTGGTGTGGACTTGATAGGCCAACAACCTGCTTCTACACTGTAGGGATTCTATGATTCTATTAAGACTGAAAACCAAGAGAAAAAAGTGTAGCACATTCTGATCAAAGAACTTTTGAATGTTGATTATGCTGTACTAGTTACCCAAATAGAAGGCCAGCACCAAAGATTCATGGATCATCTGTCCTCACGCAACTGACAAAACAGGCATGGAGAACAAACTGATACGCAGGGCCAAGATGCTATCTAGAGGGCCCATATCTGCAGCAAGTTGATATATGGAGCAAAGCCGAACAAAAAAAGCTCAATAACCTCCATCGCTGGCGTTTAATGATATATTCTTGGCATCATATGAAAACAAAATCACCAGTGAAATAGTACTTTCTAGGGCAAACATGCCGAGCATGCTAGCACCAATCAAGTTATGACAATTTTATTGGATTGGGTACTTGAGCAGGATGGTAGATAGCTGCATCCTATAGGATATGCTATAGAGGAGACAGCCAAGGTCAAAAGAGACCAGCAATGCACTCAAAGCTCCAATTCATGGATCCTGTCAAAAGATATGAAAGCTCCATAACATCAATTACAACAAGTGGGATCTTTGGCTGACAGTGGTTACAAATGACAACACTAACTGTGAGCAAGAATTTGTCACCATGATGACAAGTGGTTTTGGAAACTCCAAAAGCAAATGTCAGATCAGCAAAGATCTCAAAGACGATGCCAAAGAAAAGATCATCCTGCACCACTGGGAAGGGAGAAATTAACATGTTGTCATAGAAACACAACATAGGAACTGGAGTAGGCCATTTGGCTCTTCCAACATGCTCCGCCATTCATTATGATCATGGCTGATAATCCATCTCAACAGCCGGTTACCACTTTTCCCTTTGATCCCTTTAGCTACAAATCATACCATGTTTTCATCTCGACTGTTTTCAGTAGTAGTGAATTCCACAGGCTCACCAGTTTCTGGGTGAAGAAATTTCTTTTCATCTCAGTCCCAAATGGTTTATTCTACCTATCACTTTCCTTATTCCCTTCTCTGTATTTGTCCTTGTCCTTAATTCTCCTTCTTCTGGCTCCTTGCATAGGTTCCCTCCCCCTGGCATTTTAGTTTAAAATCTCCCCAGTCATTCCAGCAAATGTGCTCTAGGACATTAGTCCTAGTCTTGCCCAGGTGTAACCCATTCAGTTTGTACTGGCCACACCTTCCCCAGAACTGGTCTCAATGACCCAGAAATCTGAAACCGCCTCTCTTGAACCATTTCTTCAGACACATGTTCATCTGATAGACCCTGCTATTTCTATTCTGACTAGCACTTGGCAATGGTAATAATCCTAATGTCACCTCCTTTGAGGTCCTGCTTTTCAACTTACTTCCTAACTTCCTGTATTGTGCTTTTAAGACCTCTTCCCTATGTTTATCTATGTTGTACCATGACCACTGGCTGTTCAAACTCCCCCTCCAGAACATCATGTAGGTACCCTGAAGCACCCTATCCTGGTGTCTCATTTGCGGCCACAGAAATGCCTGTCTATTCTTTTTATAATTGAATCCTCCATAATTATTGCATTCCCACACTTTTTAATCCTCCTCTGTGCAGCACTGCCAACCATGGTGCAAGTATTTTGGCTATTGTTGCCTTCCCCTGAGAGACCATTCCGCTCAAGAGTGTCCAAAGCAGTATGTCTGTTTTCAGGCATTTCACCCTGTGGCAGACTTCACATTTCCAGAATTGGCTTGTTCTGCAATCAGAAACAGTATGGCAGGTGATCCCATCTGACCTCACTAAGGTTCTGAGCTACACTCATCGTCACGTACATATGGAAGGATGTCAATCAAACAAGAGCTAAAAGCTGTGAAAACAGTAGTCTTGGTAAAAGTAGTATACAGGGTTTTAAGTTATCCAAATCAGCATTAGTTTATTGCAGGACTGTCCTCGATCTGTTTAAATTGTTCGGTGCTCACTTACTTTGTTTCATCTGGATGGGCAATTTTAACCGAGTCATTTGGGATGTAGACCATGTTGGTGTCTTCTATTTTATAAATTGAATGGCCACCAATATCTGCAACTTTTCTTCGTTTAGTTATTAGTACAATGTAGTATCCTTCTAAAAATCTGACAAATCCTGTATGAGATAAATATAAATTGTTAGCCTTCAACAATATTGGAACTTTGTATTCTAACAAAAATCAAACCACGTACAATAACAGACAAATTTACTGCATCTTAGTTTAAACAAAATTCTTGATGGCTCAGTGGAGGGAAATTGTGGCACTAAATTGAACAATACAGGAGGAAGATTACATATTCACTCTCTCATTTCTACCAAGGTATCGCTTTCAACCGGGGCAGTCATACACATAACAGCTAGCCTTATTAACCCTGCGATTGGCAGTGAAGGGTAGGAGTTAAAAATGTGAAAAGAAAATTAAAGGAAATGCTCAGATTTGAAAGTAAATTTATTAAATAGGCTAGAAATTAAATCGGTGGTAGGAGACGGAGTAGGGATAAGGGAACATGCACTAATTGGTGAGATGTAAGAAGTTCCCAGGGATCTGTTCTTGGACTTCAGATTTTCAGCATCCAAATCAAATGTTTTGGATGAAGAAATAGAAGGTTGTTTCTCCAGGTTTGCAGATGATACAATGTCAGAAAGCACGGTAAGTTGTTCAGGAGCGTGTGGGAATTTTCAAATGGGCAAACAAATCAAAAGAATTGAAAATCTATAGCAAATAGACTTCAATGTGGGAATGTAAGATGGCAGGACCCAGGAATGACAGACGGGACTAATTCTTTAATGCTGAGAAGTAAACTACGGAGGAACACAGAGATTGGAGTGTCATTGTGCACAAATCACTAAAAACTAATGGATAGGTACAAAAAACATTAATTAGACACTTGCCTTTATTTAAAAGGAAATGATGTTAATAATTATGTATTAGTTACACAGACTCTGAAGTGCTTTGTTGAGTTTTTGGACACAACATCTCAATAAGGGATTACTGGCCTTACAGGTGGCGTAGTACATATTGAATAAAGCTAAGGTAGGTCATGAAGGGTTAACTTATGAAGACATAATGCACAAAACAGACCTGTAGTTTCCAGAGCTTAGAGGCTGAGGAGTAAGCTAATGTTTAAAATAACACAACAATTTGCTTGGGTAGTTAGTTACTACTCTGAACGCAGGAATCCAGAATAATTGAGCACAAACTTAAAAAAAAATTGTGTGAAATCAGGTGGACACACCATTTTTCACCCTCCTCCTCAAAAGGCTGAGAGTGTAGGGTCAAGTGAAATTCTCAAGTTGAAGACTGACAGATTTTTGCAATGTAAGGATATTGAGGCTTATGGATCAAAGGCGTTTAAATGAAATTTTAACAAAGGTCAGATCGACTAAGATATGACCGAATGTGGGAGGACAGGCAAAGATATTCTGAAGGGCTGAATGGCATCCTCCTATTCATGTGATGTTAAAGCTATTAACTTGCGTTTGGAGCTTGGTGTGTAGGCATCAGACAAAGAAAAGAAACACAGCACCAAGGATAGCACTGCGGTTTAACCAAAAGTAAAATACTATAGATACGAGGACATGAAATACAAAGATTAATTGCTGAAGGAACTTAGGTCCAGCAGCAACTGTGGAGAGAGAAAAAGAGTTAATGCTTCGAGTCCTGTAAGAGTCATCTTCAGAACTATACAGATTCTGGACCATTTTGTTTTTATTGGCAATATGGCTTACTATATTCAGGAGAGGAAACATAGCATGGTGTGTCAAATAATTAGACAGTATCACTCAGGCAATGACTACACTATGAAAAGCTAGCTCTGACAAGTTTTGTAAACGATCCGTTACGCGGTGATCAGAATTTCAAAAGCCACACAACCCTCAAGGTAAAAAAAATACAACTCCTAATCTGTTTATTTAAAACTGTGCTCTCTAGTTCTGGACTGACTCATAAGAGGAAATATCCTTTCCATTACTACTTAGTCAAGTCCATTCAGGATCTGATACATTTCAATCAAGTCACCTAAACTCCAGTAGAAACAAACCAACACTGTCCAACTTATCGTCATAAGTCAACACACATTTCAGGCATTGAATTAGGAAATCTTCTCTGCATTACCTCCATTGCATTTACAACCTTCCTTATATAAGGACATGAAACACACAAAATATTCGAGGGGTGCCCTCATCAATATTCTTAACTAAAGAGTTACATCCTTACTTTTACATTCAGTTCCCCCCATAATAAAGGATAGCCTGTCTTTAACCTTCTTAATTGTATGCTGTATCTGTACACTAACGTGTTGTGACTTAAGCTCTAACATTCTAAATCACTCCACACCTCAGAATTTTGCAGATGTTCTCTATTAAAATGAGACTTTACTTTTTTTACTCTTCGTGCCAAAGTGGACAATTCACAATTTCTTAGATTTTACTCACTCACTCAACCTATCTGGACCTGCCTGCAACATATTTATGTCATAGAGGCATACAGCACGGAAACAGAACCTTTGGTCTAATTAGTCCATGCCGAACAAAATCCCAAACTAAACTAGTCCCACCAGCCTGCTCCTGGCCAATTCCAACCTTTTCTATTCATCAACTTATCCAAGTGACTTTTAAACGATGCAATTGTACCGCATTTACCCCTTTCTCAATAAGTTTATTCCACACACAAACCACCCCGTGTAAAAAAACTGCCCCTCATGTCTCTTTTAAATCTCTCTCCTCTCATCTTAAAAATGTGTCTCCTGCTCTTGAAATCTCCCATCCTAGGGAAAAGACAACTACCAATAACTCCAAATATACCCCTCATTATTTTATAAATTCTATAAAGTTGTTTCTCAACCTCCTACGCCACAGTGAAAAAAGTCCCAGCCTTTCTTTATAAACTCAAACCTTCCATACTCAGCAAGCTCCTGGTAAATCTCTTCTGAACACTGTCCAGCTTAATAATATCCTTCCTATAACTAGTCATCCAGAATTGGACACTGTATTCCAGAAGAGGCCTCACTAACATTCTGTACAACCTCAACATGACTTCCCAACTCCTATACTCAAAGGACTGAGTAATTAAGGCAAGAGTGACAAACACCTTTTTTAACCATCCTACGATGCAAACTTCAAAGAATTATGTACCTGCACTCCTAGGTCCTTCTGCTCTGCAACATTACCCAAGGCCCTACCATTAATTGTATAAGCCCTACCCTTGTTTGTTGTAACAAAAGAAATACCTTGCATTTATCCAGATTGAACTCCATCTGTCATTTTTCGGCCCATTGACCCATTTGATCAAGATCACTTTGTACTCTTAGAAAATCTTCTTCACTGTGTACCATGCAACCAATTTTGGCGTCAACCGCAGACTTACTGATCATGCCTTCTATATTCTTATTCAAATCATTTATATAAATGACAAACAAGAAAAAAAAAAGGACCCAGAACTCATCACTGTGGAACATCGATGGTGACCGGCCTCCAGTCAAAAGCAACCCTCTACCACCACTGTCTCGGGCTGTTAAGCCAATTATTTATCCAATTGGCAAGCTCACCCTGAATCGCATTTGATCTAACATTACTAATTAGTTTACCATGCGGAACCTTGCCAAAGGCTTCAGTAAAGTCCAAGTAATCATTGATGAGGGCAGAGTGGTAATCAATTTTTTTTCTAACTTCCTCAAAAAAACACAATCAAATTTGTCAGTTACAATTTTGCTCGCACAAAACCATGCTGACTATCCCTAATCACTTTTTGCCTCTGTAGATGTCCATAAATCCTATCTTCATCATAACATATTTTCCTACTTAATTTGTTGTTGTTTGTGAATTTAGATACGACACCTTTGCTCCCCTCATCTAAGTAATTGATGTAAATTGTAAAATATTGAGGCCACGGCATAGGCCCCTGTAGGATTCCAGTCATTCCATTCCGCCATTCAAATAAAGATCCATTTACGTATATTTGTGTTTTCTGCCAGTCAATCAATGATTCAATCTTTTATCCATGTTAGTACGTAACCCTCTATACAATTAGCTGCACTTGATGTGGGGGAGGGGGGGAAGAGAAGGTCTCAGTTAGAACACAGAACAGTACAGGCCCTTCGGCCCACAATGTCGTGCCAACCTATCATCCTACTCTAAGATCAAAACTAACCTGCATATCCTTCATTTTACTATCATCCACGTGCCTATCCAAGAGTCACTTAAATGTCCCGAATGTATGTGACCCTACTACCACTGCCGGCAGTGCATTCTATGCACCCACCACCCTCTGTGTAAAGAATCTACCTCTGACATCTCCCCTATACCTTCCTCCAATCAATCTAAAATTATGCCCCCTCGTGATAGTCATTTCCGCCCTGGGAAAAAGTCTCTGGCTATCCACTCTATCTATGCCTCTCATCATCATGTACACCTCTATCAAGTCACCTCTCATCCTTCTTCGCTCCAATGAGAAAAGCCCTAGCCCCCTCAACCTTTCCTCACAAGACCGGGCCTCCAGTGCAGACCTCCTGTAAATCTCCTCTGCACCCTCTCTAAAGCTTCCACATTCTTCCTATAAATGAGGCGACCAGGACAGAACACAATATTCCAAGTCTGGTCTAACCAGGGTTTTATAGAGCTGCAGCATAACCTTGTGGCTCTTAAACTCAATTGCCAATGAAAGACAACACACCATACACCTTCTTAACAACCCTATCAACTTGGGTGGCAACTTTGAGGGATCTATGGATGTGGACACCAAGATCCCTCTGTTCCTCCACACTGTCAAGAATCCTGCCATTAACCCTGTATTCTGCATTCAATTTTGACCTTCCAAAATGAATCACTTCACACTTTTCCAGGTTGAATTTCATCTGTCACTTCTTTGCCCAGCTCTGCATCCTGTCAACGTCCCGCTGCAAACTACAACAGCCCTCTATGCTATCCACACCTCCACCGACCTTCGTGTCACCAGCAAACTTACTAACCCACCTTTCCACTTCCTCATCCAAGTCATTTATAAAGATCATAAAGAGCAGAGGTTCCAGAACAGATCCCTGCGCAACACCACTGGTCACCGAGCTCCACGCTGAATATTTTCCATCTACTACCACCCTCTGTCTTCTATTGGACAGCCAATTCTGTATCCAGACAGCCAAATTTCCCTGAATCCCATGTCTCCTTACTTTCTGAACGAACACGTGGCTGAAGTTATCATGAAGCTCCCGCCTTCTCAACCTTACTCCTCACCTGAGGTGCAGTGACTCTCAGGTTAAACTTCCCATCTGTGAGCTTTAATGGGGGAGCAGCCTTCTGGTTCTCTGAATCCATGGTGACTTTACCTTTCTTTTACTGCTGTGTTCTGGAGATACAATTGACCATCTAGCAGATTTAAGGAGGGGATGGTGGGATTTGTTTTGTGTAATTCCATCTTTTAAGCTTCAGGTTTCTCAGAACAGGTTCCAATTAGCATACTCAGAATTTTGAAAATAGCTTTCTGTTCATGCTCGATCTCTGGTTTATCCGCAACATCAACGATTTGCTACTGTTTTATGGTAAGGAAATCTATGGCACTCAGGTTTTAATGTAAGGGTTTGCATATCAAGTGCAATGTTACAGGCCACAGACATAAGAGTCTTCATCCCAAAATATTTCTTTGCAAGGCAAAGATGGTATCCAGCACAAGTATCGGTCTGCAGCACTAAGTGTAATGTAACAGTTGTACAGTTAATACACTACAAGGTAAACTCTTGAAAAATGGGATAAACTTTGATGGCTCTTTGCAATTTCTTACCAACAATGCCAAAAGCAGATACAGCACGTGAAAGGCCAGATAATCCCTTCTGCCCCATTTTCGATCGATTTCCCATGTCAAGACGACTCAAAAGTTCCTGAACTTCTTGTTGATTGTATACATGCTAAATCAAAACAAAACAAAGTACAAGTATTTTGGAATTGGAGTACAAATTCAAAAAAATTGGGATCAACAACAAAATTTTAAAACTTGTAAGGCTTATATTCAATTTACTTATTTGAAATGAGAAACCTTACGGCATAATTATTTCATTTAATAACTGCAGAGTTCAAATTTCTTTTCACAAATTGCCCCAGTAAGATCATAACAATCAACATTTGTCAAAAGAATTCTTAAGTTAACGTTTCAGATCTACACCAATCTGAAATAATCAAATCATATTTGCAAACGTTCATTCTCTAAACAGATGCTGACTGACTTACTGAGGGTTTTTGAGAAAGTACGTAGAAGTAATGACAAATCCAGTGAGCAAAATTGCTCATTCCCCATAGTGGTGGACACAGTAGTGCGGAATTATTGTAATGTTGCTAGACTACATGAGAAGATGAAATTAGTTGTGTTTTGAACTCTACATAACTGAGACAAGTATATGCAATTGTATTCTACTGAGAAGTATATAAATGTTTCAACAACATAGCATAATGAAACAAAACCATTCACAAGACTTCTGATGGCACTTACACGGTCATCAATAACCACCAAGTCCTTAGGTTCTGTACGATCTATTTTCAGAACTCTGAATTTGGTTTCTGCATGATTGCTTCCGACCAGGAAGTATCTCTAAGAAAAAAAATAAACAGTAACAAATATATATTCATCAATACATATTTTTTATTCCAAAACACAGTTGCTTTGTCTTCAAATTTCTCAATATTTTAAGACAAAACTGCATTTGTCCTTACTGAATGTTCTGTGTTTTCCAAGATCAACCTTTCATGTTATTTCCCCATGAAGAATTATACCCTTGTTACTCCACAAACCTATGTTAATTGTTGGCAGGTTAGTATTATGCTCTCAGGATTCAACTAACAAAGCTCTAGCCACACTAAACCGAATTCTACCATCCAAGAAAGAATATTTTTACAATTCAGACTTAAAAGATTTTTTTCATTTATTCACTTATGGGATATGGGAGTCACTGGTTAAGCCATTTATTATTCATCTCAAGCTGCTCAAGGAGGCGGCAGTGAGCTGCCTTCTTCTACTGCTACAGTTCATTTCATATGGATAGACCCACAATGCCTTTAGAGAGGGAGCTGGAGGATTTTGATGCAGTGCCACTGACAATATATTTCCAAGTCAGAATGGTGAGTGACTTGGAAGGGAACTTGCAGGTGGTGGTGTCCCCATGTATCTGCTGACTTTGTCCTTCTAGATGGAAATGGGTTGGAAATTGTTGTCTAAGGGGCCTTGATGAATTTAAACAGCGCATCTTGTTGATGGTACACACTGCTGCTGCAAAGATAATGGAAAGCTGAAACTTTTAAAGATATGAGTTTCAGGCACATGGTTACATCAAAGGTTCAGCCGCACAGATGGGTGATCAACAGGGGCAGACAGGCAGAGCAGGAGACCACTGTGGCTATTCCCCAGTCAAACAAACACACCACTTTGGATACTGTTTGGCCGGGTATAGTGGGAGAATGGCCTTTCAGGAGAGAGCAACAGCAAAGCCAGATCAATGGCACCACGACTGGCCCTGATGTACAGCAGGGAGGATCAAATTGTGGACAAGTGGTAGGGACAGGGGGTACATGAAAGGCACTTCTGTGGGTGCAAGGGTCCAGGATGTTATGAAGCCTCCCTGGTGCCAGGGTGAATGGTAAATCCAAGTAGACACAGGATATTCTGAAAGGGGAGGGTGAACAGCCAGAGGTGGTGGCTTATATTGGCATTAACGACATACACAGGAAGAGATAGGAGGCTCTGCAAGTGGAATTTAGGGAGTTAGGTAGAAAGTTCAAAAGCAGGACATCTAGGGCTATAATCTCAGGATTACTCCCTGTGCCACGTGCGAGTGAGGCTAGAAACAGGAAGATAATACAGTTGAATAAATGGCTGAAGAGCTGGTGTAGGAGGGAGGGCTTCAGATATCGGGACTATTGGGATCCCTTCCAGTGCAGCAAGGACCTGTACAGGAAGGATGGGTTGCACCTAAACAGGAGGGGCACCACTACCCATGCAGAGAGGTTTACTAGTGCCACTTGAGAGGTTTAAACTAGTATGGCAAGTGCAGTGATTGAGGAGAAGGGCGAGTTAAGTCAAGTCTAATTGCCAAAACAGGCAAGGCCAGTTAATGAAGACTGGCAGTCTGAAGTGTAGTTATTTTAATGCAAGAAGTAGAACAAGTAGTGCTGATGGGCTTAGAACCTGGATTAGTACACAGAACTACAATACAGAATAGCCAATACAGAAACTTCGCTGAGAAAAGGGCAGGACTGGCAGTTCAACATTCTCGGATTTCGATATTTCAGGCATCATAAAGGGGGATGGAAAAGGGGTGGGGGAGTTATATTACTGATTATGGAGAATGTTACAGCCACACAAACAGACAACATCTTGGAGGGTTTATCCAGCAAGGCTGTATAGGTAGAACTCAGGAATAAGATTGTGCAATCACTATGATGGGGTTATACATTATCTCCTGGCTCTTGGGAGGCCTAGAGGAACAGATGTTGAAGCAGATCATGGAATGATGTCAAAACAACAGGGTTGTTATAGCGCATGATTCTAACTTCCCCAATATTGACCAGGACTCCCTAATTTGACTCACTTAGTCAAATATGGCCATGACATCAAGGGCAGTCATTCTTAAGTCACCTCTGGAATTCAGCCTTTTTGTTCATATTTCAAACAAAGCTCTAAAGAGGTTAGGAGCTAAGTGGCCCTGGCAGAACCTAAACCAGATGTCAGTGAGTTGGTTATTACTAAGCAGGTGCTCCTTGATAGGACTGATGATAACACCTTGTATCACTTTACTGATAATTGACAGTAGACTGATGAGGTGGAAACTAGCCAGATTGGATTTGTCCTGTTGTGGGGGTGTGTTTGTGTATATATACAGGACATACAATTTTTCACATTGTTGGTAGATGCCAGCGTTGTAGCTGCCCTGAAATAACTTGGCTAGAGGTGCAGAAAGTTCTGGAGAACAAGTCTTCAGTATGATTACCAGGGCCCATAGCCTTCACAGTATCCAGTTCCTCTGACTGTTTCTTGAATCACAGCGATAGTGCTGCACAATGTGATGCAAAGTATTCTCAATGTGACTGTGGTGTGGCCACCCACTGCCACTAATAATGCATTTGCAGCAAGCAGATTGGTGAAGATGAAGTCAAGTATGTTTTTCCCTTTCATTAGTTTCCTCAATACCTGCTGTAGACTCACTCGAGCAGCAATGTCCTTTACGTCCCAACCAGCTCGATCAGTAGTGATGCTGCCAAGCTACTCTTGGTGGTGGATATTGAAGTCCACCACCCAGAGTACATTCGGCATCAATGCCAACCTCAGAGCTTCCTCCAAGTGTCAATCAACATGGAGGAGCCCACAGTTATTAGCTAACAGCAGGTAGTACATGGTAATCAATAGGACGGAGTTCTCACTGCCCATGTTCGACTGGATGCCAGAAGGATTCATGGGCTGCGCAGTCAATGTTGAAGACTCCCAGGGCAGTGGGAGTTTTGGGGATAATTCTGAAAGGGTCAGCCTGAGGCAATCTCACAGCTATCATCAATTAGCTGTGAAGCCTCTGATCCACTAAGTGCATTTTCAGGTTTTGAGACAGGAGTGGCAATTTAGTTTTGCAGACCTGCATGGTTCCTTTCAAGCAGTCTGGAACTCCCAGCAACATGCCCCTAGGATACAACACATATCTACAATAGATAACTACTTTTTGTCTGTTCAAAATTAATCTATAATCAGTGTGGAATGAAAATATCTTGAGACTTCCCTTTTAACTGACCCTGAATAATGAGGGTCCACAATTCTTCCTAATTTTTCAAACGTAGTGAGGAACTTCACATCATCCTCTTTACATTTAGTAATGAACCTCAGGTGTTGAAAGGCTTGGTTCTGAGGTTGGGGGAATTGAACCATTAGGAGGTGAGAAGGGGTCTTCCCTAGCAGCTCCAGTTAAAATGTTTGAAGCTGGAAAGCCTTTTACTTCTGAGAATAACAAGGTGCAGAGCTGGATAAACACAGCAGGCCAGGCAGCATCAGAGGAGCAGTAAAGCTGACGTTTTGGGTCTGGACCCTTCTTCAGAAATGAGGGAGGGGAAGAGAAGGGGGCTCTGAAATAAATAGAGAGAGGCGGAGGTGGCGATGTCTCTTTCTCTCTCCCTGAATTCTAGCTCAGAATTAAATCTACTCTAAAGTGCTGAATAACCAAAGTGCAAGGTCCATTAAGGACTGAAATGGCAATGCATATGTGCAGTCGGAAGATACAGCTGAGGTTTTAAAAGGACGATGTTTGTATAGAGATCAGGGAGAGGGAAGTGGGATATAATTAAAAGTATTACAGAGAGAGCGAGAGAGACTTTTTCTGTGCTGTGAAACCCTGACTATTTATCCAAGGTTTATTGGTTCCAAGCTCGTCATGGGAGATTGTCAGCTTCTGGAATTAATTCTTCATTTATCGTGAGTCACAAAAAGTTAGTTATGAGCTGTACCTACTTACTAGGAGGGCTAATGAAAGGTTATCCTTTATGATGATAGAAATTGAACATAAGCAAGGATGTTATGCTTCAATTATATAGGGCATTTGTGAGACTACATCTCAAATCAGGAGAGCAAAAGTGCAGTGTTTAAGCAAGGGTGCAAATATGTCGGAGGTAGTTCAGATAAGATTTACTAGATTGGTTAGATGAAAGGAAAGATAAAAAATTACAACTTGTGTTTTTCTCCACCCCCCACCAAAGAGATTCAAAAGGTGTTGGTATCTATTTACTGACTTACTGGACTCTAGGTCAAATGTCCAATTGATTGTCAGTTGGCTCATCACATAGCAATTCCTCTCCTGGCAGATAGGATCCATATGGATAGTAGTCAAAAGTGCAGCAATATTTTTGGTATTGGGAGAGTTAGTCTACCCCATAGCTGCCTGGAAGCAGACAGCTCAACTCCACATCCTTTGAGTCAGCTTTATCTGCAATGTCTATATAATGCAGGGAATTCAGAAGATTTTGGAAATAATGATCTTGTGATCAGCCTGTGCAATTGAGAGTTGAGCAATATTATGCTTTTTATTAAAAAGAAACAATTTAAACACGAAAATATGGATTAGAATGCAATTTTCTTTGGAATTCTCTTCATATCCTCTCGCCATAACAACTCATTTTCCCTTAGTTATCATAAACAATCTGTACTAATTCCCTCTGAACACGAAAGGTTAGGTGCAATCAATAAAAATTGTAAAGTCCACTGTCAAAACATAGTGAAAATTGAACATACAGCTCGAGTTTCGTACAGGACCAGTTTCTGAACACAGCTAATGACTGGTCGCACTGTTGGCATGACGACAACAAAATTGACTTCTGACAAGTTAGAACATCACAATCTGCTTAGGTCGCATTGGAGGTCACACAGTATCTAAAACAAAAGAAACAAAATAAAATATTTCATAGTCCAACAAATCACTTTCTATAGGTTTAATAACAAAGTGTCAACAGCAACTTCTAAATGGAATTGAATGCATACTTGAAAAGAAAAAAAAAATTACAGTGTAAAAGCAGGAGATTGAAACTAAGTGTATATATTTGAAACACATTTTCTGTGTTGAAGGATTCTAAAGTTGCTCCAGTCCAGTAACCTACATGAGCCCAAACCAGATGGCTGCACGTCTTACTCGCAGAGCATGCCACCATGTGAAGTGGCTTGACTCAATTAGTGAAATTTAATAGTTTAATTAATACACAAGAGAGATAGTGTTCATAGTGATTTGACATTCACATACTCTCCAGGTTTTGTATTGTAAGAATAGAAATTTATTGAGAACCCCAAGTTGCTTGATCAATTCTTCAATATTCTTTCATCTGGGACCACTCACATAGGTGAGACCAGGACTGGACCGAAGGGATCTGGTAATGACTAGTACACAAGTTTTTTTTAAATTTGACACCAAATTCAAAATACCCAAACTGTTGTCATAGAATTAAAATCAAAGGTCTCCGAAATGTAAGTAGAGGGTTTGAATTATAATGATAGGCTGGAGGTTTTTCACCTGAGCGTAGGATGTTGGAGACTGACCTTAGAGGTTTATAAAATCATGAGGGGTACAGATAGGACGAATAGCAAAAAAGGTCTTTTCCCCAGGGTGGATGAGTTCAAAACGAAGGGGCATATTTTTTAAAGGTGAGAAGAGAAAGATTTAAGAAGGGAGCTGAGGAGCAACTTTGATTTGTATGTGGAACAAACTGCCAGAGGAAGTGGTAGATGCAGGTACAGTTACAACATTTAAAAGACATTTGGATAGGTCCATGAATAGGTCAGGTTTACAGAGATATGGGCCAAATGCACCTGAGTGGGACGAGTTTAGTTTGGGAAACTTGGTCGGCATGGATGAGTTGGACCAAAGGGTCTGTTTCTGTGCTGTATGGCTCTATAGGATTATGGGCTACTAGAGGTTGTCACACCATGGTAGCAGAGTATTAACTTCTTTAAGACAAGATTCTACACAAGAATCAACTTTGTGTACAAATACAACTGTCAACAATTTTTAATAGGACCTTGCAAATCTGCCCTATGCATGGGCCAAGTGATAAACATTTCCTCATTCCACTCAAAGGCATTACCAACAACATCCTGAAGTTTATCATTATTCAGGAAATGCCCACACAAATTTTGTGATTACACAAGCTGGTCAGTAAGCAATTCAACTAGCTTCTCCAAGCCTATCACCACTTAGAATGTGCAGGTGGCAGGAACATAAGAACTAGGAGCAAATGTACGCAATTCAGCATCTTGATCCTGCTCTGCATTCAATATGATCATGGCTGATCTCAGCTTGGCCTCAACTCAAGTTTCCTGCCTGCTTCCCATGACTCTTCAACCAATTACTAATTAAAGATCTGTTAATCTCCTCCTTGAAGTTATTCAATGTCCTGACATCCAAAACACTGGAGTAGTGAATTCCACAGATTCACAACCCTTTGAGAGAAGTAATTTCTCCTCATCTCGGTTTTAAATTTGCTGTCCCTTATTCTAAGCCTAACTCTCATTCTAGATTGCCCCACAAGACGTGACATTCTCAATCATTATATAAATCGAAAACTCTCAATTTGTCTGGATGAGCATAGCTCCAACACTACAGGATACCCATCGCAGCACTCCACACATCCGTTGTCGTACACCAGCAGCAATGTGTGCCATTTATATAGATAAACTGGGGCAAGTCACCAAGATTTCTTCAGCAGCATTGAAAACTGTAAACGTTAACGAGAGCGCGAGCATCTAGGCAACGACGACTGTAGTAGTTCCAAACTGCCGATCACCATTGCCTACCCAGTCAATTTGTGATGGGCATTTTAAGTACTGACCTTGTTGGTATCTCATGAAATTAACTTTTTATTCATACAATGCAATTGGCCATTTCTCAGAAAATTAATACCTGACAATAATTTCTGTCAGATAATAATCCTGCACTAGGGCAATGCAGATGGTTGGAAACAAAGAGAGTAACTTGAAGGGTCATGATTCTTGTACACGTTACATACTAAAGGTTGGTAGCAAGTTCCAAAATAGCATGTTAATGCTGATAACCACAAGCAAGTTAAATTTACAACTCCAGAAAACTGCAAAAATGTTTCTAACAGAAAGGTCTCCATGCAAGAATCACAAGAGGCTAGCATCCAAGTTCAGCAGGTAATTGGGAAGGCAAATGCAATAAAGTAGGCAGGTGGTACTAAAACGTCACTTCACCTGATGAAGGAGCAGCGTTATGAAAGCTTGTGATTTCAAATAAACCAGTTGGACTATAACCTGGTGTCCCATGACTTCAGACTTTGTCCACCCCAGTTCAACACCAGCATCCTCCACATCTTGAATCAAAGTCAGAGGTGGTGAAGTTTGCTGATGATTGCATGTTGTTCAGCACCATTCCCTGCTCCTAAGTTTTTGAAGCAGTCTGTGTCCATGTGAATCAAGACCCGTTTGACATACAGGCTTGGGCTGATGAGTGACGAGTAACAGTCAAACAACATATGTGCCAGACAATGACCATCTCCAACAGGATAATTCAACTATCCCTCCTTGATGTTCAACAGTAATAGCTTTTCTGGATTTCCTTCTTATCACATCCTGGGAGTTACCACTGACCACAAGTGAACTGAACCAACTGTATAAACTGGTTCTGAAGAAGAGTCATATGGGGCTCAAAACATTAACTGTTTCTCTCTCCACAGATGCTGCCAGGCCTGTTTCTTCAGCATTCTCTTTGTTTCGGCCATATAAATACAGTAGCCAGGTCAAAAGCTAAGAATCCTTCAGTGACTGACTCACCTGTCTCCCCAGTGCCTATCCGACATCTACAAAAGGTATAAGTTAGAAGGGTGATGGAGTACTTTTCACTTTCTTGGATGGATGTAGCTTAACAACACTTAGGAATTCTAGGTATCTGAGAAGATTGACAGCATCAAAGAAAAGCAGCCTGCTCCTTTGGCAACCCATCTATTAGTATCAATATCCATTCCCTGCACACCACCACAATATGTACTATGTACAAAATGCACTGCAGTAGCTCATCCCGAACTTCCTTCAACAGCACTTTCAAAACTTGTAACTTCAGCCCGCTGGGAGGATAAGGGCAGCACACATATGCGAACGCCACCACTAACAAATTTCCTTCCAAGCCATTCACCATCATTATGTGCAACTATATTGCAACTCCTTCATTGTTCTATTGTTATTTGTTCTTTTGACAATGAACAATACAGCACATAATCAGGCCCTTTGGCCCACCACACCTGCGTCAACTCCTAGTTCTTATTAGACCTGCTATTTATTGCCTATATGCTATTTCTATCCTTCTGTTCACGTGTCCATCAAGATATGCCTCAAACGTTCTAAACGTGCCCGCTTCTGCCACCTCCACTGGCAATGTGTTCCAGGCACCCCCCAGCCTCTGAACAATTTTCCCCCACACTTCTCTAAAATTCCACAACCACCCCCCCACCTCACCTTGAGCCTGTGCCCTCTGGGAAAAAGCCTGACTACCAACCTATTTATGCCTCAAATTTTGTAGACCTCTCAGGTTGCCCCTCAGCCTCTGTCTTTCCAGGTGAAAACAATTCAAGTTTATCCAACCTCTCCTCATAACTAAAATCCTCCAGACCAGGCAACATTCTGGTAAAACTACTCTACACCTTCTCCAAAGCATCCATGTTCTTCTGGTAGTTTGGCAACCAGAACTGCAAGCAATGTTCCAAACGTGACCTGACTAAAGTTTTATACAGCTGTAACAACTTGCCAACTTTTATATTCGAAGCCCCAGCCGATGAAGGCAATTGTGCTGTATGCCTCCTTGACTACCCTATCCACCTGTGATCCCACTTCCAGGGATCTGGGGACCTGTGTGTCCAGATCCCTCTGTTCATCAACACTCCTAAGGGTTCTGCCATTTATTGTCTAATTCACAGCTGAATTTGATTTTCCAAAATGCATCATCATCTTGCATTTTGCCAAATTAAACTCCATCTGCCATTTCTCTGTCCAAACCTGCAATCTACATCCCAATGTATCCTTTGACAATCCTCATCCGCAAACTTACCCATTGGACTACCTACACTTTTCTCCAGATCATTTATGTATAATTACAAACAGCAAAGGTCCCAGCACCAATCTTGAAGAACACTACTAGTTACTCATCTCCATTCCAAAAAACACCCTTCATCACTACTGTCTTCTATGACCAAGCCTATTCTGTATGCATCTGGCCAGCACAATCCATATCCCATGAGACTCTACCTTTTGCACCAACCCACAATGATGTATAGTCCATGTAGACAACATTCACTGCAGTTCCCTCAATCATTCTTGCCACCTCCTCAAAAAGCTCAATTGAATTGGAGAGACACAACCTTTCCTGCAGAAATCCATGCTGCTGATCACTAACAAGTCCATTTGCTTTCAAATGTGAATAAATCCTGTTTCTGGGTATCTTCTCCAACAGCTTCTCCTTGACTGATGTCAGGCCCACCAGCCTGTAATTTCCTCGATTATCCATTTCCCTTATCACAGGGTCACAGGCTGTAGCCCACATTTTTCACCTAGTTTCATTATACTATCCTTCCTTTCTCCCTTATATACTTAATCAGGTTCCACCTGTTTCCATCTGCAGTACACAATCAAATAATCCATGTGTAAGCAAATTCATCCTTGGTGTAACAAGCTGCTTCTAAATGACACAAATAATAGTCTGCAAAATCAAATCCTGGAAGAACAACTGAATTCAAAGAACTATTTATGGTATACCTTTACAGAGTCAACCCAGTATAATAAACACAAACAGGTTTCAAAATTCAAACAGTTATGAATTACATAAAAAGATTCAAGATGACATCTGCTGGTTACCCTATGTTTATGAGCAACGCAGATAAGGTCATTAGCTCTCAGATTTGTTTTAGTCTTCAAAATTTACAGGATTCATTTCATGGACATTCTAGAAACAAAATAAATGAAAAATCCATGTTTTTAAAAAAAAATATTTTCTTTGATTGACATGAAAACATAAAGAAGTGACAAGAGTAAACTAGATGGCCTATCAAGCCTGCTGTCATTCAATGCAAACTTGACAAATCTTCAGCCCCAACTCTACTTTCCCAACCCCCCACCAATCCTCTACAAGAGAACAAAAAATAATTTATCCATGCGTAAACCTATTTAATGCAGTCCACACAACCATCTGGGGTAGGCAACTCCCAACACTGTGGAAACAGCTTCTTTGAAATGTTTAAGACAGGGCGAAGAGATTCTTGAATGTGGTGAAAGGTTATCAGGACAGGTAGGAATGCGAATTTGCAGTTAATTAGATCAGCCATGATCTGATTAACTGACAGAAGGCTCAAGAGGTCAACTCCTACCCCTCGATTGTAGGCTTATAATCTTCAGGGAAGATATATCTTTCTTAAATAATCAAAACCAAAACCATGCACGCGTATTCCTGGTGTGGTCCGTCTAAAACATTATGCAAAATTATCAACGCTTAACTATTAATGTACTCTACCCCTTTGAAATGAAGGCTGGGATTTACCTTCTTGAGTCTGCATGCCACCTATTAAGGGCTACCTTTCTGCTTTCCTAGACCTAGAACATCCAACTCCCTCTGGTCATCAACATATATTCAAGAACGACAGTGGTGTAGGGGAGCTGAGCCCAGGGCTCTTCCACACTCGTCTGCTTTCTTTCTCTTTTTTTCCTTCTTCTTTAAAGCCTGGAGAGTGGCAGGTGAAGGAGGTGGCCTCCGGTAGTAACGCCAGTACGAGCCAGTCACAGCTCCACCACAGCCCAGGGTATTCTATCGAGCGAACAGCTCGTCTTGGGCTGACCAGAGGCTCCAGGTCCGCAGCTATGCCCGGGTGCCTGAAGGAGCGGAAGCATCAGCGAACGGGACGGATGGTGGACCGGCGGCAGCGTCTGATCGGGAAAAGAAGGCTTCTCTAGCCCAATGACATCTTGGTTTGTGGCGGCCTTGCCCAGGATGGCGGTCTCGTCCCAGCTACGTCTTCAGGATATTCTATCATTCCTTAAACCAGCTTTCTCCGAGCCCAGGAGTCGTTTACTGAACTGCGATGAACTTTGTCTGAAATTTAACTTTAAAAAATTATGTATGACTTACGTCATTAATACAGGCCTGTGGTGGGACGATTCATAAAACTTTTCACTGTATTTTTCATGTAAAGCGAAACGTGACAATAAGTTTCTATTCTATACAAGTTTCGGCTAGGCCTTTCTTAAAATTAAACTTCTCCATCCTTGCTACCAAAGTGAACGACCTTTGCAATACCCGTTTGCCTGAGCAATTGAACTGAAGGGAAAATTAGGTAAATACATAAAACAGAAAGGGTCGGCGGATGCTCGAATGGCCACTAATTGCGTTGTTAACTCTGCGTGTTGAGGTGGAGGAAGAAAGCTGGAGAAGTAACGGAGGTGTTCAGGGTGATTGTTCTAAGATACCTGCCCTGCCCGCCCGAGGTGGGTCCTGCTGCTCGAGCGCCAGCTTTGAAAACTCACGCGCTGTCAAACGGTCAACGGTTGAGGCCGGAGCCTCTTCAGCGACAAGAGGCGGCGGCGGCATCATCTGACCTATCCGCAGAAAAAAGGGGAGCAGCGAGAGAGAAAGAGAAAGAGAAAGCAAAATAAATCGGTCACAGCGAAGGGATCCCCTCGAATAGAAACTGAGAATATCCCAAACAATAATTACTCAGGATTTTATTTGGTATCAAGAGCCACCACAGTCTCTCTCTATCTCTCTGCTCCATCCCAGTCGAGTCAGCTGATGATTTACAAAATAATCCTTTAACGGAACGGAAAGCAAATTCAAGATTCTTACCTTCAGGAAACTTCCTACCGATAAATAATAAGTTGCGACACCACTCACGATGAAGACCGTCAATGTTTTATGGGACAGAAGCCATAAAACGGATTCCGAATCCGACCTTGACGAGGAACTGACCAGCTTATGGGTCGCCGAAGAGACAGACTTCTGCCAGGTACGAAACGCGATTTTCCGACTATTGTTTTTAAAAAAACCTCATGCAATTTTTGTGTGAGAAAAATGTAGCACTTAACTTCCTATACAGAGCACAGCTTCTCAATATCACCGACACGGTGAAAAGGGTAATCTGAAGGTAATCACTGAAAATTACAATCTCAATGATTCGAAATAATAAAGAGAGGGAGTGGATCCGGAGTGCCAGCGCTGAACTACAGTTCCCAGAGGGCACTGTGCACATACGCCCTGTTCCCTCCCCAGCCCACTGCTAGTGTTTCTATAGTTACCGACTCAAAATCAGTGCGACACCAACCATGAAACAGGTAATAGTCATCGAGTAATTTAGCAAAAAGTCGACGTACGTAAAATGCAATAGCAGTCTCGCAATATTATTGCAAGGTTTATTGTTGCATGAATTGGATGCAAGTTGTAGATATTGCTTTTTGCATCAGAACGAGTTAATTGTCACGAAGAGCTGCCAGCAAGTCGGAGAGAGAATTTTTTGACAACCCTTGCTGAATACTCATGGAATAGCGCAATTTATGAACTATGATCAGTGCTTTTCTTAAATTTTCGCACACATGTTGACAAAAGATCAGTGGATATATGCCTGACATTCTAAAGTTACATTTTGTACTTGGGATAATCCGTTTACGGATTTGGAGAAGTTATTTGATTTAAACTTTTCAGTTTAAGTGTTTTCATAGGATGCTAGCCAAACTGATGAAAGTAAAAGGTCTGAGTGAAAGTACAAAGACCATCTTAAGTACAAAATTTAGGGTCTGGAGTTTTATTCCAATCTTTAAAAGGCAGGGGATGCAAAATATTTTTAGGGCTGAAATAGATACTCTTTCATCTCCTTGATAATCTAGACTATAGGGCTTTGCAGGAATGAAGAGTTGAGGTTAAAATCAGATCAGCGGTGAAATTATTAGACAGCAGAACATGCTGGAAGGGCCCAAGTAGCCTACTCTTGTTTCTTGTTCATTTGTTTGTATGAATTGTGAATTTGTGACAATGTTGTCACCCACATTTGATTTTAAAAATGATTGTCCAAAACCATAGTAACTTGGAAACTGGAGAGTTGATAGGCTCTGGTCCCAGAAGTTTGCTCAGCCATTCAATAAGACCATGGATGAGTTGGACTGAAGGGTCTGTTTTGGTTCTGTACAACTCTGACTCTGATTCTAGCTAAGCAATCCTCAAATGCAACCACATTTCTGCCCAATTTACATATTCCCTGATTCCTGCAAAATACAAATCTATCAATATCAAACTTGAACATACTTAATGACAGGACACTTATAACAATCTGAGAATTCTGAGCAGATAATTCTTAGGATTCATAACCATAATGTGTGAATAAATTCCTCCCAATCTCAGTGCCAACTAGTTTATGTTAAGACTTTCCTTATGTTCTAGACTTCACATGAGGAATAATCTGTCAACATCTTAAGCCTGCTCAGAACAGGTTTCAGCAACAAAAACAGAAGTTGCTGGAAACACTTAGCAGGTCTGGCAGCATCTGTGAAGAAAAAAAAAAGATCAGTTAACGTAACAGCATTCCTGATGCCGTTCCCTCCTCTTCCCCCCCACCTTCCACCGCCGCCACCTCAGGTCCAGGAAGATCAAATTTAATCTGGTGCAGGGTCTTCTCACCATTAGCAAGTTTGCTGTAGCTATCCCAGTCATTGCAAGAGGGGTGGTCCTATAATCAAGTAGGAACCAAGACAGTTTAGATGGTGGTTACTTCAAGCCTGCCTTCAAAATTTGGACTGCTCTTTATGCTAGACCATTAGATGATGGATGGAATGGAGCTGTCCTTATATGACAAGTACCATTTGACTTTAGGAAATACTCAAGTTCTCTGCTGGTAAACAATGCCCTGTTATCTGACCAATACTTGCAGGACACCACCTATCACAAAAGGTGTGTGCAGTTTTTCTATCGTTGTTCCCATGATTGATGAATGGACTTTATGCACATCCAGCCACTTTGAGTGGGTGTCTATAAGTCCATGATAGGACCTGCACAGTTAACTGGTAACTGAGTCCAGGGTTTACCCAGCCATTTCCATGAATGTGGGGGAGCTGCTGGTGGTAATTTTTGTCCATGTTGGCACTCTGGAAAGGCTCCACCAATGCAGCTATGTCTGCATCCAGTCCTGGCCACCAGACAGCTTCTTGCCAACATCTTCATTTTGGAACCTCCTGGATGACCTTGGAGTCCAGCCAGTATCTAGCAGTAACCTTTGCTGGGGACAATCACTGTTACTCCCCATAATAATATGCCAGCTTGTACTGTGATCTGGTTTCATGGGGTCCAAAAAGGTTTCACTTCTGGTTGTGATGGTCCTTTGGTTTCCTCCATCACCTGCAGCTGTTTCAATTTTGCCAGGACCAGATCTTTCTGTATCCAAAGTCTGATATTGTCAACTGTGACTGGAAATGGGTCCAGAAAATTTAAAACCATCATGACTCTTTCAATGGCGGTACCACTTGTGACTTATCTGCCAGTGGGAAATGGCTCAATGCATCTGCATTTGTGACTTGACTTCCTGGACAGTGTTCCAACTTTTAATTATGGTATTCGAGCCCACCACTGAATTTGGCCTGAAGCTATGGAATCACTGCCTTGTCCTTTTTAAGTAGTCCTAGCAGGAGTTTGTGGTCAATTATTATTACAAATTTATGTCTGTAAAGGTATTAGTGGAACTTCCAGCCTCCAAATATGATAACCAAACCTTCCTTCTCTATCTGGGTGTATTTATGCTCTGCATTAGCAAAGTCCTGGATGTGTACGCTCTTAGGTGTGCCTCTCTGTTGGGCCACCTATGAGCTAATGCTATCCCAATGCTGTATGGGAAGACATTGCACATCAATACCAGATCTCATCTGAGATCATAGTGTGCCAGCACCTTAGATTATAGCTGTTTCTTCATTTCCCTGGAAGCTCTGGCTTGGCTACACTGCCATTTCCAGCTGACCTTTCTTTAAGAGTTGATGCAAAGGTGCCAGGATGGAGGCCAGGTTATGTATGAACTTTCTGTAATAAATCACCAGCCCAAGGAATGACCGAAGCTCTGGTATAGACATGGGAGCCAGGATACCTTTGATTGCTCTCACTTTACAGGTCACATCCATTGGAAGACAATGTTGACTCAAGTAGGTCACTTGGGGTGCCTGGAACTATTTTACCCTTGTAAGGCATACACCCATCTGGGAGAAACATCTAAGGACTATCTCCAAGTGATTAGAAAGTGTTCTAAGTGCTTCTTATTGGTCTTTCCTGTTAGCACATGATCTAGATAAATGGCAACATAGAGTAGACCTTAAAATGTTGTCCATCGTCCACTAAAAAATGCACGTACAAACGATACCCCAAATGGCAGTCTTGTATATTGGTATAAATTGTAGCAAAATTCTGGGAATCTTCATCTAAGCACAATTGCAAGTACGCATGGCTTATGACCAGCGCCATGATGGACAGCCCCCTGCCAGCTTTGCGGATAAACCCTCTATGTGAGGGATTGGCTTTTATCCAGCTGCGAAAAGCCATTTGCCATTTATTTAAGAGTCCCAAAAAGGTGGACCGACCTGTCGGGCTTCACAATCAATATTACTGGTGCTGTTCATTCTGCAACCTGGACTGGTCCTTCACTTTCCAGCCTCCTGATTTCAGCCCCCACTTTTGCCCGCAAGTCGAATGGCACAGGGCTAGCTTTGCAGAACTGTGAGTTGCTTCCTGGTCAACAAGCAAGGTGGCCTTGGCTCATTTCATAGCCCCTAGACCTTCCTGAAAAAGGTTTGGGAATTTAATTAGGACTTCACTCAGGCAGCTATTTTCTAATTTAAAAATTAAAAATTTAAATTAATAAAAGCCTATGTGGGTGAATCTCTCTCAACCAATTTCATCTCATCAAGCTTGTGCCTGAGCTTTTCACTGCAATCAGTGGTAACTGAACCAGCTGCTTCTCATAATAGACCAGAACTGAAGTTGTGTACCCTTAATCTGAAAGGGTTCCTGGTATAGGTTTTGAGTCTAGCCAAGATCTGGCACAAACTTAAGGATTGGAGTCCAGAGTGAGTTTTGTTAAACACTGTTTCTGTGATCACTGAAATGGCCGTGCAGTTATCAACCTCCATTAGAACCAGGTGATCATTTAACCAGATGTTTATTTTGGTTGGTTCTGATTTAGATGTTACTAAGCAACTTAACTGTTCTAAACCAGATGTCAGTGGACTTTCCAGGGTGTGCACTCTCCTGGATACCAGCCTATGAGTTTTCTTACTCAACTTGGGTCTGGTGAGACTTTTTTGCCTTCTCAAGTCTGCGTACCAGCAGCAACTACAACGGCTTGCAGACCTGGATTCTGAAGAAAATATTAGCCATTTGTTCAAGACTCAACTTCATTTTGGAATTTTGCTGTTGGCTGACTTAGAGTCCTTCTGTTTAGGATACATCATGAGTGAGGCTCTGGAATTACCTTCACTCAAATGGTGTTCCCCTAGCTCAGTTGGACTGGAGTGAGTGCTAGCTTCCATTGGAATACTTGGAACTCACATGCTCCACTTGCCACATTTTCCAATGACAAAGGCAGCATGCCAGGTTGAAGGCCAGTTGGCTTCAGCTAGTAGGTGCTTTTGCATGGTTACATCACTAATCCCAACTACCCAAATGGTCTCAGTATCTCCTTAAGGGTTAAACCAAAGTCACAGGCCTCTGCCAGTCATCTTAATTTCAAAAATCCCAATATGGATTGCCAAGTAAAATTGATAACATTTCAGAATTAGAGGCTTATTCCTTGACTAAATCTGAATTGTTGCAAGGTTTTAAGAACCTGAACTTCCCAGAGGCACCAGATACTAATAACCAAAAAAAAAGCTGCAGGTCCACATCCTGTCATTGCTTTTTATCTGTCCCAGTGTCATTTGCCCAGGAAAAAAAAACACATTCTTTCCTCATACCAGGTCCAATCTTCATCAGGATTGGACAAGT